CCTGAGTAGCTAGGATTACAGGCGTGAGCCACCAGTGCCCGGCTAAGACCTCATCTTTAAAAAGGGGAATTGAGGGCTGGGAATGTGGCTCAGTGGTAGAGTGCTTGCCTAGCATTCATGAAACCCTGGGTTTGATTCCTCAGTACCACAGAAAAAGCCAGAAGTGGTACTGTGGCTCTAGTGGTAGAGTGCTAGCCAGGGACAGCGCCTAGCTCCTGAGGCCAAGCTCCAGGACTGGCAAAAATAAATAAATAAAAATAAAATGAGGGAATTGAGGTTGAGGATTTATTTAACTCAGTGGAAGAACACCTGATTGGCACAAGCAAGACCCTGAGTGTGGCCTGAAAAAAGAAAAAAAAGTGAAGGTGGGTGGGGAGAAAACCACTAGCTTAGAAGTCCATTTCCTTGGTACCAAGCAATCTGATCTCTCCCAAGTTTGAATCTTTCTTTTCTTACTTTCCTGTCTTATCCCTATGTACTATGAACTGTACATATTATAGAATTTCCCATATCTTGCCTTATTTTACAAATAATGGTGATATATATGTTTTTAAATTCCTTAGTAAAAGGTTCACCGTCTTAGACTGCTTTGTTTTGTTTCTTCCAATCTGTCTGGTTCCTATTTTACTTAATCCCAGTCCAACCCCTGCTTTCACTGTATTTGATATCAGTATAATTTGTGGAGGGGAAGGGAAAAAACAAATTGTTTAAATAGGGATACAGGTGGACCCATTGCAACAATGAGATGTACAAGTCGTTATGTCAAAAGCTTTACACCTTTTGGGGGGGGGAGGAGGCTGGGAAGGGGAAACAAAGGAGGAGGCTACAATGCTTGATAAGAAATGTACTCATTATCTTGCCCATGTAGTTGTAACCCCTCTGTACAGTATTTTCACAATAAAAAATTTTTGTATTGTCAAAAAAAAAGTTAATTCTGTTTATTTGTTTACCTTGGTTTTGAGATAGGATCTTGCTATGAATCCTCGGCTGACCTTGAACCCATGTTCCTCCTGCCTTAGCTCCTGAGTTCTGGGTCCCACCACATCTGGCTTCATGTTTAAGCACTAGAAATAGCTAATAAATATTTACTAGCTGTGTAATTAGGCAAAATCTCTTTAACTTGCTGAGCTTTGATTTCTTTAAATTAGGATTATTAAGATCTATTTTGTGGGCTTGGAATGTGGCTTAGTGGATAGTGGTTACCTCCCATGTAGGAAGCCCTGGGTTTAATTCATCAGTACCACATAAACAGAAAAAGCTGGAAGTGGTGCTGTGGCTCAAGTGGTAGAGCACTAGCCTTGAACAAAAGAAGCTCGGAACAGTGCCCAGGCCCTGGGTTCAAGCCCCAGGACTGGCAAAAAAAAAAATTCTATTTTGTGAAGAGACAAATTTATCTGGATTTAAATGAGCCTGTCATATTGTGTACACTCAAATGTTAGGTTTTATTAATAAGGATTAATAAGGATATAGTCTTGAGAAAAAACTACAGAGCAGCCATTAAGTTTATTTAAATCTCAGTTCTAATCTCTGGTGTTTTAGGAAAGACCATTGGTTGGTAACAGTTTTTATTTAGTCCTTGTGGCTGGAGACACAATTACCCTTGGATTCTGGATACCAAGAATGACTTGGACTTATTTTGAGATTTCATAAAATGCTTGAGTTGGCTTTATTTAGTAGAGACTAAATGCTGTTTTTACCAGCAATAAATTTAGTTCTAGGTTGACATCCCATTATTGTTTATAAATCAGTTCTTCAAACTATTCACATGATACTCACAAGACTGGTAATGATTACTTCCTTCTTTATTTGGTCCTGCTTTAGGAATTATGTTCAATTTTTTTTGTTGTTGTTGGTTATGGAGTCTGAACTCTGGGCCTGGGCGCTGTCCCTCAGCTCTTCAGCTCAAGGCTAGTGCTCTACCATTTGAGCCACAGTGCCACTTCCAGCTTTTTCTGCTTATGTGGTGCTGAGGAATCGAACCCAGGGCCTCATGTGTGCAAGGCAAGCACTCTACCACTGAACCACCTTTCCAGCCCTTATCTTCAATTTTAAAATATAATTTTGACAATTGAAAACAATCTGGGACTGATGGTGTGGCTCAGCTAGCAGATCACTTGTCTACCTAATAAACACGGGCCCTGAGCTCAAACCCATTACCACAAATAAAATGAAAAGAAAAAGATAAACAATTTTGCTGATTATTTTAAATTATCACAGTAATGGATAGATAGCAAATTACCCATCTACTTTTGGTATTGAAAATCTACAAATAAACATGAAAAACTTTTACGTTTGTGCTATTAATTTGTGTGGCAAAATATTAAAATTGCAAGTAGTTAAGAAATCATTTTGGGGCTGGGAATGTGAATGCTTGCCTAGCATGCGTGAAGCCCTGGGTTTGATGCCTCAGTACCACATAAACAGAAGAAGCCAGAAGTGGAGCTATGGCTCAAATGGTAGAGCACTTGCCTTCAGCTGAAGAGCTCTGGGACAGTGCCCAGGACCAGAGTTCAAGCCCCATGACTGACAATAAATAAATAAATAAATAAAGGACATACTCTATGTGAAGAGAAAGGTACAAGAAAGGTAGGGACCAAATTTATGATTACTTAGATTTAGTTCTAATAGCATACTGAAACCTAAGGCCCAGTCATTCAAATTCCTTTTTATTCTTTACAGTTTTACAAAAAAAAATAGTTTAGTAAATGAAAAAAAATATGATAGGAAAAATTTTGAGAGCCTGTTTTTCTCCTTTGGGTTGGACTTTGATTTATTTCTGTGTCTCCCCTGTCTTTTGTAGTATAGGTAATAAGCTCCTATTAGGCAGGAACCAAATTACCTTGCTTACCAAGCACTTAAGTCATCAACCGATATAATAGGAAGCTTTAAAATAGTATATTCTTTGTTTTGTTTTGGGTCCGGTCATGGGGCCTGAACTCTGGGCCTGGGCGCTGTCCCTCAGCTCTTCAGCTCAAGGCTAGTGCTCTACCACTTGAGCCACAGCGCCACTTGCAGCTTTTTTCTTTTTGCTTATGTGGTGCTGAGGAATCGAACCCTGGGCCTCAAGCATGCAAGGTAAGCGCTCTACCACTGAGCCTCCTTCCCAGCCCCTAAAATAGTATATTCTTGTAACTTCTGTATGTTATGTGGCACTGAAAAATACTTAAAGTTGTATAAACTATGAGTCAATTTCATTGCTACCTAGTAAATATGTCTGGGAAGCTGTACATATGACCTATATGAATCACTTTTCTATCTTTCAAATAGAGATGCTCTTTGCCTTATAAGCTTGTTACTGAAGATCAGATAACTTTTATGAAGCACTTAATTGAGTGCTTTGCAGATGACTGGTAACTGCCACAAAGTTCTCCTTGATTTGTCCTCTCCCATCTCCAGTTGATTTTCCACCCCTCACTGACGTCTTCCTACTGCTGCTCCTTCATGCTGTTTTGGCCATGCTGTTCTAGGAGGTCTCACTCCTCAGGCCTTTGCTCTTTCCCTCGTACAACTGGCTTCCTGGTTTTACTCAAGTTCCGGCTCAGATAGAGCCTTATCAGTAGGTCTTTCCTGATGTCCATTAGCTTCTGTTTGCCTTGGACTGCGCACACACATTGGTTTGTATCTGTCCACAGTCTTTGTAAGTCCACAAGGGAAACTTTATTTTGTTCACTGTTGCATCTCAGCACATAGACCAGTATTCAGCTAATATAGGTACTTTTTTTTTTTTTTGTCAGTCATGGGGCTTGAACTCTGGGACTTGGGCACTGACCCTGCGCTCTTCAGCTCAAGGCAAGTGCTCTGCCGCTGAAGCCAAAGCACCACTTCTGGTTTTCTAGTGGTTTATTGGAGATAAGAGTCTCATGGACTTTTCCTGCCCAGGCTGTCTTTGAACTGTGATCATCAGATCTCTGCCTTCTGAATAGCTAGGATTATAGGCGTGAGCCACTGGCGCCCGGTTTAGGTGTTTTTTTTTTTTTTTTAACAAATTGTCACTAGTAACTATTTCAATAAGTTCTCCTCATATTTTCTTTTCATAACTTGGGAAATCACCACTTTTTGCTAGATCTCATAAAAATGAACAAAGTACTGATTGATTCTTGGTTTCTCCGTGATTTTCCCCCTCCCTCTTCTAGGTTTCAGTGTGGCCCAGAAGCCATTTGGAGCCACTTATGTATGGAGCAGCATTATAAATACTCTTCAGACCCAAGTGGAGGTGAAAAGACGAAGGCACCGGTTGAAACGCCACAATGACTGCTTTGTTGGTTCCGAAGCTGTTGATGTCATTTATTCTCACCTAATGCAGAATAAGTACTTTGGGGATGTCGACATTCCCCGGGCCAAAGTAGTGAGAGTGTGTCAAGCACTCATGGACTATAAAGTATTCGAAGCAGTTCCAACCAGAGTCTTTGGAAAAGACAAAAAACCTACGTTTGAAGATAGTAGCTGCAGCCTTTACAGATTCACAACCATGCCTAACCAAGATAGTCAACTGGGCAAAGAGAACGAAGTATATTCACCTTCCAGGTGAGTTTATAGTATTAGATTATCATAAAATGTTGACAGAGTTTGTCTGCTTTTTTTTAGGAGACACTGACTTGCTTTAAATTGTGTATAAATATCAGAAGCAATAATTTTGCTTAAAAATCGGTGGGTAGGGGCTGGCTGAGGTCCTGGGTTCGATTCCTCAGCACCACATAAGCAAAAAGAAAAAAGCCGGAAGTGGCGCTGTGGCTCAAGTGGTAGAGCGCTAGCCTTGAG